CACAGTACATAGCACATAGTACGTACTATACACATGTATAGCACATAGCACTTACTATGCACGTGTTTGTGCATCTTGTGTCGAACTTGACAGCAGCCAGAGCCTTTTCCTTTCTCTATGTTGCCTTTCTTAGTCTGTACCTTCAGAGCATTTTCGTTTTTTTTGCAAAGCATTTTCTTTTCTCCTACAAAGTGTTTTCACTTTTTTCTCAGCACCCGCTGAACGAGGTTTGGAAGGATCGGAAAATCTAGGGCGAGGTCCCTCTTGACGGGATTGTTCATCTTTTACCGTTGATCTTCGTGATCGACAGTCAGAAATGAATGATCCGGTCCGGGGGCAAGTGGGACCTGCCTCCTGGTTTCTGTTTCTGTTGCTTGATGCAGTTGGCTTTCCCCCTCCTTTTTTTCCTGATACAGTCAGTCTTGCTTGTTAGTCTCTGAATGGTGGCCAGCCCAACTGTTTGTCTTATTAAGTTATTATCTTTGTTCTTCGCGTACAAACGGGCATTCTATTCAGGTGTTGAAACACAGACCTGAGTTCGAACCCCAGTGGTATCGTACTTTGGATTGCATATTGGATGTCATTTGGTTGATCTTATATCATACTCTGCCGTTTCCACCCAAATAGAACGCCTGGTCATTACTGACTGACCTAGCTCAGTTGGTGCGCCTATGAACCGTTGAAACACAGACCTGAATTCGAACCGCAATGGAATCAGATGAGTAAAACTGCCTCTGAATTTATCTGGAGCCGGTCAGTTGAATGACGATATATCAATGCCGTCGCCCTTTCATTGTGAAAGAAGAGCAGGCACACGTGCCGCAGCTCCGCCCGCAGCGGAGAGAGGGGGGAGAGGCACAACCATGGCAGTGCATGTTTTTTGCGATCAAAAGTTTCACAAAGCAAAGGGATTAGAAATCCAAACTTCACAAATGAAGTAGGAATGCGTAACAAACAAAGGATAAAAGGTTCGGTTGCTGAGGATCGGTCTCCTGGAACCCCAGAGGCTGGGTGCAGTATGTAAAGAGGAAAGGCAAAAGACGCACACAAAAAAAGAAAAACAGAAATACACAGCAAAGGTGCGACCGAGTCTAGTCCCTGTCGTGCTTCCGCTTTCTCCCCGCCGCACTGTCCCTTGTCCCCCTATTTTCTCCCTGCTCTGCCCGGAGGGCTCTTTAGCGCAGAGACACATTCACTGGCTTGTGTTGGAGCCCCCCCCCTGCTCTCTCTCTCTCTCTCTCTCTCTCTCTCTCTCTCTCTCTCTCTCTCTCTCTCTCTCTCTCTCNTCTCTCTCTCTCTCTCTCTCTCTCTCTCTCTCTCTCTCTCTCTCTCTCTCTCCTTCCTGGAGAATCTGGACTCTGAATACATCCGCTGCTACTCAGCTCTATCTCTACGACTAACTTATGCGACTATGGCCGCCTTCCCTCTCAGCGCAGCGCTGCCCAGCAGGGCTCTCGCGCGCATGCTACGCGCAGATAGCGCACAAGCGCTTCAGCAGCACTTCCACACCTCTCACGAATGAGCAATGTCCCTCAAATGTGGCTGGTAAGTCCCTATATTGACTTGTATTGACTTGGACTGAGCCTCAACTCGTCCCAGCCTCTGCTTCCTTTGGCTTGACTTGGACTTCCACACGCCCGGTACCACATGCCCACGGCCTGTTTGCTTCAGAATGTCAAGACCTGGTCGTACTTTTTCCCGAATTTTCATTCGAGTTGGTGTGCTGCTGCTTGGGTCTGTGAGTCGCGACTTTTCACCTGTGGAACCCATGACTTTTGACTGTGGGATGTGACTTTTTTTCACCTCTGGGACACGACTTTACTTTTGCCTGGAGAAGTATCCCCTTTGCCTGTGGGATATGACTTTTCCATATGAGACGTGAGTTTTGCTTACAGAATGCAACTTTTGCCTTTGGGATGTGACGACTGTTTACCGGGGGGTGCCTGTTGGACTTGAGACTCCTAACTCCGGGGATCGTTTTGATTGGAAAAAAAAAAAAAGAAAGAAAAAGAGACTCCGAATTTCCTAAGGTACCCAACTGCGACTTCGCTGAAACTGACCGACTTGGCCTCCCTTGGGGTGAGACCTCGACCCTGGAATTCGAATTTGGGGTCTGCATCGTGGAATGCCTTTCAGTATAGAGAAAACAAATAAAGAACACATGGTCATTATACCAGCTGTATGTCAACTTCCCGTCTAGATACAGCGACAATGACCATGTATTCTGTTCAGGTGAAGAAGGCAGTATCTTTCTAAGCTTGTGTGTGCAGAGTGCGTGATGTGCGTATTTGGGTTTTTTAGTTTGTTTGTTTGTTTTTTGCCCCTGGCAAAGCTGTTATCTTGCTGTTTTTTGTTTTGTGGCCCCCTACCGTCTTCACCCGACTACGACGCACGGTGATTATTGCTGTATTTAGACTGATGAAATATACCCCAAATACAGCTATAATGACCGTACGTTGTGTTCAGGTGAAGACAGTAGCCATGTGTTTAGATGCTGTCGTGCTTGTCATTGTCATTCGGCCAACCTTCTGTATTTCCTCATTTCTCCTTTAAGAAACAGAAATTGAAAAAAAAATTTAAAAGATTGCATATAGTGCCTAATACTGCCTTATAATATTTGGCCAACCTTTTATATATAAAATATTAAAATCTTTAAATCTTACTATTCTTCTACACATGTGTGTTAGCTTGGAGATTGCCTGTTCCTGCTTCAGTTTCCGCAACGTGTGTTCACATTTGTATGAACTCTGAAGATTGCCTATTCCTGCTTCAGTTTCCGCAATGTCGTGTTGTTTATTTGTTCTTGCGGAATGTGCTGCTGTTTGTTGCCCGCCTGGCACGTTGTTTCACAGAGCTTGCAGAATTTGGAGCGTCCGCAGCCGGGAAGACCCGGTCTCAGGCTTCCGAAAGCGAAGGATGAAGCTGGATGGAAAGCGTTTTGCCTTGGGAGGTGTCAATCCGCCGCAAATGCAGCGACGAGCGAATTGACGATGACAAGGGGAACGAGCTCGGGGGACGAATCTGCTGGAACAGGAGCAACAGGAACAAGCTCAATAGGCGAAGTTGCAGGGCAAGAAACAAGCTCGATGGGCGAATCTGCTGGAGCAGGAACAAGCTTGAGGGGCGAATCTGTGCGACAACGAACTGACTCCGGGGTGTGTTATGATGGGCAGCAGATGCCTGCTGAGTGTGCTGGTCAGGACAGGAGTAGTTCATCCATCAAGGAGGAGGTTAGCGATGGTGCGGATGCAACTTCGACTGCGACATCGAGTGCAACTACCGATCGTATCTGCAGTGGAGGACGCAAGGAAGGCGACGACAATAACTCTGCACAGTCGGCATTGCAGCCTACCCTTGATGTTATGGTGAAACTCGATGACGTGACAACCGCGTCCCTCCTTTGTCGTCAGATCGATTGGCTAGAAAATGCTGCAAACATATCGGAACACAGATTTGCATGGCTGTTCGCACTATTGGCACAGGTAGGGAAACCTTTGGATGCCGACACAACTGCTGCAATCCGCTCGCTTCTCCGATGTTGCTGTCGGTTGCGGTCGACGAAGCAATCGGTCGACGACCCCGAGATGCCAAGACTGAATATCCTTATTGCTATTGCGGGGAAGTACTTTGGCCAAGCGGAGGGTGGCCTTTGACTGTTGATGAAGGTGGCCATGTCAGATACTCTCCGCAACGGGTGCGACCCAGCCAAGAACTGAAGGGCTGTGTCTCAGCGATTCACGGAGCTGGTTGTGCTATTGGCACACAAGTAATGAAGCCTTCGGATGACGACACGTCTGCAGCAATCCGCTTGCTTCGCTGGTGGTGTGTTGTCGCTGAGAGACGAAGAAGCAATCACTCGGAGACCCATCACTGTCAAAGCTGAATCCCCATTGCAATTGCTGGAAGTACTTCGGCCAACCTGAGGACAAGGATGGCCTTGGAATGTTTACCAGCGATAGTCAGTGGTGTTGTGGCTTAGAGATGAGAAAAAGCAGTTGCTCGGAGACCAATGTTTTTTTTTTTTTTTTTTTTGCTTTTTTTTTTTTTTTTTTTTTTTTTTTTTTTTAATGGTGTTGTCAATCAGGTACTCTCTGCAACATGTGTTGCACCATACATAGCGCCTAGGCTTCATTTCCGTGCGCACGGGTGTCCCCGGCACGCACGGATCCTTGCACAGCCGCACGGCCGTGCGGGTCCCCCGAACGGGCCCCGTACAGCCTCAGCGCGGTGTTCAGAAAAAAAAAATGCAAAGTTTTTCTCTTCTTCGTCTTCTTCTTTTTCTCCTCCCTTGTCGTCTACCTTCTTCTTCCCCTCCCGCGATCTCCTTTGTCCCTCCCACTCCCTCCTACTCTCCCTGCCGCTCCCTCCTACTCTCCCTGCCGCTCCCGCTCCCTCCTACTCTCCCTCCCGCTCCCGCCATCTCCCACGTCGCTCCCACATCCTCCAGTCTGCAGTCTGGGAGTAGTTGTGCATGGGCGTTGTCTTCTTGTGTTGCCAGTGCGCCACAGCCATAGGCCGCCTCAGTAGTTCCCTATCTACTCAACCTTCCATCCACCATGCATATGTAATACTGTCGTCACTGCGACCATAAAAGCTGCAATTTCAAGGGGATGCCGATCGGGGTGGTTGCTTAAACTACAAACTACCTTATCGTGTTCTGTCGTCAGGCGTGTAGAACAGATTGAAAGGGGATGGGCTCTGATAGATATGCTGCATGTTGCAGCAACTTTTGCCAGTTGTATGTCACCGAATGGGGACGCAAAACGTCCTCCGGTGCAGTGATTGCTGCGCAGGACGTATCAAGTCAGATTTCAGGTGTCGTGGTTGTTTAAACTACCGGACGGGAAAGATACAGAGTAGATTTGAGCATGGCCCCTCCGCAAGGATGACACACAAACTACCTTAGGGCATACTCACACTCACAAGGACTTTTTCCACAAAGCTCTGGACGGTGATCGGGGTCAGATTCATCCTGGTCTAGCCAAAATTGCAGTTCAATCCATTTCGGAAAGTGCTAGTGTGAGTATGCCCTTTTTTTCACGAAGTGCTAGTGTGAGTATGCCCTTCTTTTCACAAAGTGCTAGTGGTCTGTGATAGGGCATGTGCAGTGTAAGTGATAAGTGTGGGCCTTTTTGTCTCACAGCGACGCTTGCCAGTCGTATATCTATGCAACAGTGGATGACAATGGGTGGATGCAGGTACGAGATCTATCGGACGTCGCACATGCAATCACTGAGTGCTGTGCCCACCGGCGGAATGGTTTCAATTTCACGCTCCGCTACTCAACATTGTACATACGTCTGGACGCCTTTCTGGACCAGATGCATTTAGAGTGATCCAACATTTTGAATGTATTGGAACAATTATGACCTCCGGACATATATATAGTGTGTTGGGTAGCGGAGCGGACCCCGTGAGTAGTCGAATAGATAGCAGGTAACCGCGCCCTTCGCTGCTGTCGCTAAGTGAACCCATGGCCTCAGTCAAATGTCAGTGTTTGAAATCCAAAATTTCAAATTTGTAAATCCATGAAGTGTGTAGGTTGCTCCTCCTCACATCTTGACAATCTCTTCGTCATGCAGCTTTGTGTGCAGGTGAGAGATGAGAAGGCTATTAAGCTGTATAAGAGTGTATATACACAGGAAGGGTGGCAGGAGCCGCTGACGCATATGAAGGGGAATCAAGGAAGAGGCTTACAACATGGCTGTGCTGCCGGGCGACAATCAGTATTGCAGTGTAGTGTTTTTCTCTATGCTCACATTTCGAGTACAGCCTCTCTCTCTCTCTCTCTCTCTCTCTCTCTCTCTCTCTCTCTCTCTCTCTCTCTCTCTCTCTCTCTCTCTCTCTCTCTCTCTCTCTCTCT